TCCTTCCTTTTTTTTGGGGGGGGAGGAGGAGGAGGGGCTGTTTGGACACATTCAACTTGGTTCTACACTTAGGGATCTTTCCTGGCAGTGCTAGGGATCCAACTTGTATCAGTTGTATGTAAGGCAAGTATCTCAAACCCTCCTTGCACTATCTCTCCAGCTCCTTCCTTTTTAATCTTAACTTTCACCTTGATATTGGGCTTTCCTGGGTTCATGACTAAATAATATATGAGTCAAAGAGACCAAAGACATTTAGGTGTTTAATATATGTTGTAGCACTGTCCTGCCGTTGCTCATCGATTTGCTTGAGCGGGCCCAGTAACGTCTCCATTTTGAGACTTGTCGTTACTGTGTTTGGCATATAGAATACGTCATGGGTAGCTTCCCAGACTTTGCCATGCGCGTGAGATACTCTCAGTAGTTTGACGGGCTCTCCAAGAGGGGCAGAGGAATTGAACTCGGGCAGGCTGGGCCGGCCGTGTGCAAGACAAACGCCCTACTGCTGTGCTATCGCCCTGGCCCTAATATTTAGTTAAGTAAATAAATTCCTAGGAAGAGTTTGTTTGAAACCACTGTCTCTAGATTCATTTTAGAAACCTTTTCTTGTTTGTATTTGGGCCACACCTGGTTGTGCTCGGGGTTACTTATGGCTCTGGGCTCAGAAATCACTCCTAGAGTGCTCAGGGGACCATATGGGATGCAGGAGATCAAACCTGGGTCAGCTGTGTGCAAGGCAAGCACGCTGCTCACTGTACTATAGCTCTGACTCTCTAGATTCATTTTAATAAACTGCATCTCCTGACTTTAACCAGACTTTCATATGTATAGTAAGAGTAAAATAATCAAAGCAGTGTAGTAGTATTAGAGGAATTCACACAGATAAGTAGGATAAAAATTATGTACTTATGTACAATTAAATTTAATTTTCTATTTGTTATCTTCATGAGTAATTTGACTATATTTTCTCTATTTTTTTTGGGGGGGGAGAGGGTGTTGTGTATTGAACACAGAAACCTTATCTGTGCAAGGCAAATGTTCTAACACTGGGTTATGTTCCTGGCTCCAAATTTCCCTAGTTTTAATTAATTTTTACCAGGTTCTGAACAATTACTCCAGTGAGTAGCTTCTTTATTTTGTAAAAAACACTATGTTCATAAGGTACTGCCTAAACTTCATAAACACAATAGTACTTCTAAGGTGCAAAATACTTCTCTAATCATACAATACCAGTTTATCCTGAACGTTAATTAAAAAATCTTTTATTTTAGTCACCGTTGTGACTACAATACTTATAGTATTATAGATTTGTAATACTTAAAATGATAGGGTTTCATGAATACAACATTTCAACACCACAACCCATCTCCAAAGCATCCATTTTCCTCTACCACTGTCTCAGAGCCTCCCTTCTTACCTTTCCTACATTTATTTTCTTTCCTTTTAAAATTTATTTGGCTTATTGTTAGTGTGATATTGAATCACTGATTTCTCCAAGGTATCACTTGATGAGTCTTAGAGAAAACAAGAGTGTTATAAACGAAATTAAAGGATATGTTCACAAGTACACACTCATTATTTAACATATTAGTATCAGAAGTAAGCAAGATATATTATACAGGTAGAGATAGAATTAGAGAAGCATGGAGTAGAGACTGAGAACTGGGTATCTGAGTTCTGGCTGTGGCTTCTTTATTTTTTTTTTTTTTCCTTTTGGCCACACCTGGTGGTACTCAGGGCTCTCTCCTGACTCTGAACTCAGGGAAGCTATAGGGGGTGCAGGAACCAAACCCTGGTCAGTGGTGTGTCAGACAAAATCCTGCCTGCTGTACTATCTCTCCTGGCCCCTAAGGCTTCTTTATCTAGGCAGATGTCAGGTTAAGTTAGATTTCCTTTCTGGGTTTCAGTTTACTCCTCTAAAAAAATGGAGGTAATTAACATTTTTTCATGGTATTGTTTATTTAGCAGTGCAAGTTAGTGTATATAATGTGCTAGACATGATTCTTAATTGTGAAGCAATTAAATTATTATAAGCAATTGGTGGTTGATAGTAGGTGGTGAAGTACAAATTTGAAAGTTCACAGAAACAATATTGTTAATTTCTACAGTTTAAAAAGATTTTCTCATAAACCTCTCTCCCCAAGTTCTAATTTTAGACTGAAATACATACTGCTTTTCCCTCGACTTCTCTCATAGACAGTTTTTTTTTTTAAATACCATAAATTCAAAGTATTTAAAAGGCAGTAACGGTACAGCTACTACCCATAACTTTAAGGCATACTTTTTGGGGGCTCGTGAGAGTGGTGGGGGAAGAGGGTTTGGTTCACATTCAAGTGTGGCTAGGGCTTACTCCTGACTTTATGCTCAAGTATCACTCCTGGTGGGGTTTGGGAGACCAAATGGGGTGCAGGGGAACCGAACTCAGGAGAGCCATATAAAAGGCAAGAACCTCTGTACTTTCAAGCCTCCAGTCTGTTGTATATACAAAAGAACAGCAGTGCTTCCAATTTGCATAACATAAGCGTTTGTTTTCCCAGCTAGTACAATCAGGAGTAGGATGGGGGAGTAAAGAGAAAAGTAGGATTTAAAGCTTTATCTCCGTTTACTTGTGGTAAAGGCCTTTGAAATTGGTTCTCAGGAAGAGGGAACGTCGGTGACGAAGTAGCCAGTACCGAGTTTGCTTTTAACATTCCTTACCCTCCTTCTCGATGTCCAGAGACTTCGTGTTCTCTTAATAGCAAAGAACAAGAGCCTCCACCGCTCTTGGGCTATACGGGCCATGCCCAACTGTAAACATTCAAAAAATCGAGAGGTTTCTCAAAAGTTTCCAGCGTTAGGGTTTTCCTGGAGGGGTGGGGGGGGGGGGAAGACTCCCAAACACTTGTACCAGCATTCCTTAGGCCAACATTTCACCCGAGCTGGCCAGCTGCTCCTTTCAGTTACTGCACCGAACAATCCGACTTGCCATGTTCCTTCCTTGTCATTCCCCATTGTCTTACACCAAGTCAGTTGCTTTAACTTTCCTGGTCCTCGCCGACATCTGAGTCTGCAATCCCTAACCTTTTCCTGTCTCCTAGGAAGGAATGCGTAATTCTCTTCCAAGTCCCTTACCAGTTTTTATCAAAGCAACTGTTAGGCAATCTGATGAGTATTTTTACACGTGCTTTCTGGATGGTGTCTTCAGGCATGACTGTGCAGGTGGAAGTTACCGGCCTCACGGGATCACAATTAGGACGGCAACCGTCCATTCTACTTTTTTTGCAGCGCTGACGAAGTCACACTCAAACGCCCTCACCCACCCCAGAGGATTGGTTCTCGGTCAAGCAAAGAAAAGCAGACCGGACTGGGTGTGAAAGCAAAAGCAGATAACATTTTTTGCAGATGACTCTGGTTCCAAAGGCCCGATCGCTACGAGAGAGGCTATTCCGACTCCCCGTTTCCTCGGAGGCTTCAGGATATCCGGCCTGACCGAATTTCCCCTCACCTGCTTTCGGGGCTGGCGTCGCGTCGGGCAGCCGCGGCCCCGGAGCGCGCGCGCCTCAAGCATGAGCTCATTGCTCAGGGGCGTTCCCAGAAGGCCGGGCCCGGTCGCGCGCAGCCGTCGCAATCGGCCCGACGCGAGGCTGCCGCACTAGGGTGGGGCGCTCCCTCCGTGGGAGCTTTGTTCCCGGCTTAGCCCGGGGAATGAATCTGCGCCCGGCTGGGGAGACGCCCTGGGCCCCTCTCGGGGAAGACACTGGGACAAGGGGGCGCGCGCGATCCCGGGCGAAGGGGAACCTCGGATATTCTGAACCAGTCGCGCCCCGCCGAGAGCTACTGGTGGGTGGGGGGAGCCCCTCAAACTCTGGACTCGGTTGAACGCGCAGGGCCCGGCCTCAGCAACCGCAGCGGTTTCGGACCGGCTGCACGGAGGGTCCGCTCTCGCCTGCGGTTTTCACACTGGTCGGGAGCAGCCACGGCGCGCCCGTCAGACAGGCTGCCACGACCCCAGCCGCGACCGCCCCCGTTCCCGGGACCGCCGCCGGAGGCCGGAGGCCAATCACTGGGCAGCGATGTCTTACGATTGGACGGTCCTGAGCGCTGATTGGCGACCGCTGAGTTTCGGGCTCCCCCTTTCCCTTCTGCCCCCACTTCAGCGCCACAGCGTCTGGCCAATGAGAAGGCACCTTATAGGCGCCCTCCCCGCACGTTCTCCTTCTCCCCACCGCGGCGGAGGAGGCGGCGTTCTGACTGGCCAGACTGTCCTCGGAAGCCCCCTGCTTTTCACCAATCAGCACGGGAGAGTCACGCCCAGCGGCGCTTTCGACCAATCACAAGGCTCCCGCGGCGCCCGGCCGCGCCGGTTCACCAGCGACGCCGCCGCCTTTCGCTGCCTCTCGACTCTCTTCAGGCGTTTTTTTTTTTTTTTCCCCCCCGTGAGGGCCCGCGACTCTGATTGGCCACTGCGACAATCGTCGACTTCTTTCCCTCTCGCCAGCCACCGGAGGAGGTGCGGCCCGGCCCGTCGCTCGGCCTTCTTCGGCTCTTTCCGCGCCTCGGGCGTGGCTTCCCAGCGGCGTCTTGCGATTGGTTCCTCGGGCCGCTCGGCTTTTTCCGGGCGCGGCCGCGAGCAGGCGGAGCCTGTGATTGGCTCCCCGGCGGGGCTTCGGCTCCTCCGCCGGAGCGGGGCGGGCTCGGGGCTCGGCCGGCGATTCCCAGACGCCTGTTACGCGGGCGGCGGGGCGCTGGGCGGTGGAGGCTGCGTGGGGGAGGCAGGAGGCGGAGGCCGCGGGGGAGGGGAGGGGGAGTGGACGAGAGCAGGGCGGCTGCGCAGAGCGCTCCTCGCACAGAGCAGCCCCCGACCCGGGCGAATGCAGGCTCGAGCCGCCGCCGCCGCCGCCGCCGCCGCCCGGGCCGAGTGACAAAGGAAGGCCGGCAGCAAGGCAGGGAGGCAGGAAGGGAGCGAGGAGGAGCCGGGCCGGAGCCGCTGACAGGGCTCTGGGCTGGGGGCGCCGCGCGGACGCTTCCCGAGCAGGCACCGAGCTGAGGCGAGCGAGGGGCGGGAGGCGGCCGCGCTGCTGCCGCGGACGGGGGAGGGGGCCCCGGGGACGGAGGCGGTTGCCGGGCTCCCATGTCCCCGGCGTATGGGGAGCAGCCGAGGAGCCGCCGCCTGGGGTCTGAAGGGAGCTGCCTTCGCCGCCACCGCCGCCGCCATGGCCGCTGGGTCCAGCCGCCGCCCGCAGCTGCCCCTGGCGCAATGAGGAGAGGAGCCGCCGCCGCCGCCCGCCGCTGACTGACTCGCGACTCCGCCGCCCTCCGCCGCGCCAGGCCGCGCCGCCAGCCCGCCGGAGCCCGCCGCTGCCCGAGCCGCAGCGTTTCCCGGCGCCTCCCGAGCCGCCCCTCCCTCCCTCCCATCCCCCCTCCTTGCGAGCGTGAGGCTCGTGATCCTTCCGCCGCTTCCCTTCTTCATTGACTCGGAAAAAAAATCCCTGAGGAAAAGATAATCTTCCGAATACTTCTTTTCAATCAAGTATCTGCCCCCGTCTCACGAGATCTCTCTATTTTTTAGGACCCTCTGCCCCCTCGTCTCCCCTCCAAGAAAACGGAGGGGGGGAAAGAATCGTATTTTTTTTCCCTCATCCCCAAATCATCTATGTGAAATATCCCCACTGATCTGTTTCGAAGGAGAACATACAGAGCTATTTTCTGAAAAAATAGCTATACAAAAGGAGTGCAAAGCCAAAAGGACGAAGCCTTTTTTTTTTTTTTGTGGGAGAACTTAATGCTGCATTTATCATTAACCTAACGTCCCAACCTAAAACAAAAGGAAGAGAAGGAGGAAGGAAGGAAAAGAAGGTGATTCGGAAAAAGAGTGACCATGTCAGGGCGGCCCAGAACCACCTCCTTTGCGGAGAGCTGCAAGCCAGTGCAGCAGCCTTCAGCTTTTGGCAGCATGAAAGTTAGCAGTGAGTATCGATTTTATTTTGCACCCCCTCTTTCGCCTCACCTGGAGACCGCGAATCCTTGAAGTGGCAGGATCCTAAGTTCGCTCCCCTCGTGAACAATCGGCTGTTAAAAAGCTGCCTTCAGTCAGGATGAGGCACTCCCTCTTGTCCCACACTCCCCCGTCTCATTAACCTTGAGTTGGGAGAACAGGATTTCTCTTGGGCAGATTTGATCGAAACATTTCTTTTCTTGCACTTTGCTCTTGGCAGATGGTCAAGTGCTTGAGGAATTTCCATGTTAAAGGTGGTAGTGCTCATCTTTTTGGTAAGAGGACAAGATTTGATTCGTAAACCATTCTATACGGAGTGTGTGTCTTTCGAAATAAGGGAATTCTCTTTTTTTTTTTAGTTAGCTCAGATCACAGGGTTATAATTTTTTGTATGCTTAACAGAGACAATGTCACACACTCTCCCCTCTCTCTTTCTCTCTCTCTCTCTTTCTCCCCTCCCCTCCCCTCCCCCCTCTCTCACTGTCTAAGTATTGGTTCTTTATCCAGAGAGATGAACTTACTCTGTAACCGGCAATCTCGTTCGGAGGCAATAAGATTCCCCTTTGGAAGGGGCTAGTGGGAGCTGATACCCAACAGTGCTACTATCTACATGCCTTGTCTTTAATTGGATAAGTGGTTTAATGTTATCTCCTAATCGTAACCGTTTTGACGTTACCAATCTAACACTGTATAATTTATATTTTAATCCAAAGGCAACTTGGAAGTTTGGGCCAAATTTTTATTGAGGTTTGTATAAGTCTGTGGGCAAATACCAAGTTAGTGGTAATGGTCACCGGCTTGTCTTTTAAGTTCATTTTTTGGTGTGCCATTGGACTTGGTCCGTTTGAAAAGATTCAGAGCTCAGGAATCCTGCCTTAGAACTGACGAGGCTTATATTGATTTCTTGGCAAATTTAGATAAAACTTGATTTGGTTGAAAATAATGCAGATTTAGACTTCACTTATGGTTTGCAGAAGTCTGTGGACTTGGTATATAATGATTTTTGGAGGAGGCAAAGAGTTGTTAGACTGCTCTAGTCCCAGATTTGTGCTTGAAGTTATGTTCTTAAGGAGATTGGTATACTGAATGTCCAGTGTTCCAGTCTATTTCTGTTTGTGGAACATGTTTTATGTCGTATATAGTAACAACTTATTTAAATAAATTTAACAATTAGAAAAAATTATACTTTATATTCTTAATTCTCAAAAAGAGTATAAAGGGCGAAGAGAAACTTTATTTTGTCTATAATGAGAGAACGAAATAACAGATTTTAGTGTGTAAAATTGGTTATATCCCTTAGCAATATAAAAGACTCACTTCTGATTGAACTCAGGATTTCATTTCATGTTGGCTTTGGAATTTGCCTAAAGCAGGGTAATAGTTGACTGGGAGATTATATTCGAAAAAAAATTTTTTTGGGGGGGAATTGATTAGCTTGTATAGAATGTTGGGTATGTGAAGAGTGAAACTTTTTTCAGGTAAAGGTCACGCTTTCTAAGCATTTAATGGGCCTATTTAAAAAGAGTATTTTAAATCTGGGATAATTTTCAGCTATGATGAAGCAAATCTTCTAAGCTGCTTTAGATCCTCTTGTACTGGAGTGTTTGTATGTTTTTTTTAATCTTGGTAATAAAGTTTAAAAGCCAATCGAAATCAATTTTAATTAATGCTATTCAGAGAACAGAATACAGTAGCTTATAATGCTAAATTTTTGAATATTTCATTTCATTTTGTTTCCAGATTTTCTTTGAAAATTGGTCCTTAGTTCTTGATAATAATGTGTCTGGAGTAGCTCTTAGAAAGTGTAGGTTAAAATGTTTAACGTTCTACCTTCTACCTTTAACTCTCTCTCTCTATATATATGCTATATATATGCTTTCTACCTTCTACCTTATAGGTTAAGGTAATGTTTAAAATGTTGAGTTCGGTGCTACTTATGTATTTGAGACATCCTTGACTGTAATAAGGTCACTTTCGAAGAGGAATGTAAGCATTTGTGAGTGTGCTAGTTTTCTTTGGGACCCCTGTTCACTTTAGAGATACACAAGTGATTATAGTTCTTGGCCTCAAAAGCTTGACATTTATTTGTAGAGGCAGATTATGGGACAACTATATAAATAATAGCTTGATGACTGTAAGATTGTAGATAAAAATAGAATACTTCATTTAGAGGGACAAAGAAGCGGAGGTGAAGCAGATGGGTTGGAAATGGAAGACTTCCTGCAGAGATGTTTTAAGACCATCAGTAACTGGATGGAGAAGCATTAAAAAGGTCTTAGAGGGAAGAAATGGATTGAAGCGTAGAAATGGAATTTTTGTATGACGGATATAAATGACTTTAATTTATCAAGTCGTTCAATAAAATATGAATGAATGGGGTATAAGTTGGAAAATAAGAAGAGATGGGATTTGAGAAATATGTTAACTGTTGCTGATGGGACTGTAGAAGGGGTCTGGTCTGTATAGTTCGGGTCAGGGATGTGGCTCAATATTAAAGTAAATGCCTTGTATGCATGAGACCTGTCTTCCATCCCCAGAACTACAAAAAAAAAAAAGTTTGGTTGAGATTTAAGAGAGATTGGAATTTGCTGTAGGTTACAAGATGATTTGTGCTGCTGAGTTGATGGATTAGAGACTTTGTATGTATATAGTAGTGTATGTGGCCCAGGGTGAGAGAACAAAGTGAAATGGGATGAAAGAAACACATTTGAGAAACAGTGTGAATCAAGAACTGGCAGAACTTCAGATTGGGTTGAAGGGGAATATTTGTGAAGGAGTCAGGAGTTAAAAATAAATTCTGATGCTATTAGTCTGGAAGATAGAGTTATATTGTTGATTGTAATGGGAATGTAGAGAAATGCTGAGATGAGCGGGTAGTTCACTTTTTAAAAGTTTACACACAATAGCTTCCCTTGAAATTCAGCAGATAGTGGTTGGTTACTGTCAATGATTGTAAATTCTCAGTCTGTTAATTATGCAGTTTCTAATATTTTTACATCTAGAATACTGTATTTGTTGTGGGGATCACAACTTAGGGTTTTTAAAAAAATGTGTTCTATTAAATTTCTAAAATAATGTTTTTATGTAGTTCAAAAAGCTCATGATTGAAACTTACAGTTCCAGAGTAATTTGAAATCAATGTAATAATTTCATAAAGATTTTTATGACTTAAATTTTGTTTGTTTTGGGACCATACCCGCCCTCACTCTGGGCTTTCTTCTGGCTCTGCACTCAGGGATCACTGCTAGATGGGCCAGGGCCTTGGGGAATGGACAATGGCAGACAATACAACATGATACCATTCTGTGGTGCTGGGGGATCAAACCTGGTTTCCACTGCATGCAGGGCAAGTGCCCTGCCTGTTTTTATTGCTCTGGCCTGTGATTTGAACTTTTTAGTATATATATGTATGTGTGTATATATATATATATATATATACATATATATACACACACACATACATATGAGCCTTTAATTTTTGGTGTTTGCTTAAAAAATTTAAAAATAAATTATTTAAAAAACTTATTATTATTATTATTTTGCATTTAAAGTAATTACATCTGGTACCACATGGTCACAAGAGTACTGCCAGGAGTAGTAACCCCTGAGCACCAGGGGGTGTGGCTCAACTTACCCTTCCCCAAGCTAGCAGTATGGAAATTAGCACAACTCAACAAAAAAGTAGTAATAATAGTAGCATTCTTTCCCTTGGTTTGTGAGGGAGCTCACACCCAATTTCCAGAAATAAATTGATTATAAAACACATTTTGTCCCTCTTTTTTAAGGCATTCTTTCTGTTTGAGTCACTGTATTTGAACTTATTTCTTTTTCTTTTGCTATGATGGAAACACATTTTTTCCCCCACATAGACTCAAGTGTTATTAGATAAGTAGTAATACCTATAAACTGTGAAACATGATTCTCAAAGTAGAGAAAGTAATGAACTATGGTAATTTTGGTTTCAAATATTAACAAAAAATCTTTAGTATACTATTAGTGAAAATTTAACTAATTGCCTAGGTCTAATGCCTAAGTATATGTTTCAGAAATGTATATAAGTTAATGAGTATCACATAAGTTACTTCCTTGTATGAACTTTCTAATTCTGTTTTGTTTTTCGGGGCTTCACTCTACTCCTGCCTCTATGCTCAGGGATTACTCCTGACAGTGGTGTCTTAGACTATATGCAGTGCTAGGATTGAACTGGGTTGACTGTATGCAAGTCAAGACTTTAACCCCCTCCCCCCCCCCCCCCCCCCCCGTACCATCTCTTCAACTCCTAAAATGTTTGACTAAAAATATTCTCAGTAAAGAGACTAATAGCATATGGTTTTGCAGTATTAGTTTATGGTGGTTAGAAATAGAATTCATGGTCATGGTCACGGTTCTCCCGTTGTCATCAATTTGCTCGAGCGGGCCCAGTAACGTCTCCATCATGAGACGTGTTGTTACTGTGTTTGGCATATCGAATACGTCTCTGATAGCTTGCTAGGCTTTGCCATGAGGGCGAGATACTCTCAGTAGCTTGCCGGGCTCTCCTAGAGGGGCGGAGGAATCAAACTCGGGTCAGCCATGTTGGCCTCTTGTAAGGCAAACGCCCTACCGCCGTGCTGAATGTAGGTGTCAATTTAGAATTCCTTTCCATCTGAGGGAGTTTAATCTCTTTGTAAAAATTTGCTTTTTAGAATTTAACAATTTCTGGATTAGAAGAAACTGAGAATTGGGACATTATTTTCATTCCTTACCAGATTTAGAGTTGTTAAAATACTAAGACCTTCATGTAAAAATTGTATGTCCTCTTATTGCATAGGTCCTTAGAGCTAATCATTAAATGATCTTAAGGCACAGGGAGTCTAGATTTCCTGAGATCAATTTATGATTGATTGAGAACTGCATTTTAAAAGTGAGATGATGTCTTATTTCACTGTTTGCATGTACACTCTGATGTTTGCCCTTTGTTAAAGATTTGAG